ACGATCAGTAGATCAACTTGTGTGTCTATGGGGTGCCCCCCTGCCCCCGTATATAAAGGAGCAAGGGGGGAGGCCGGCCGGCCCTAGGGGGCGCGCCAAGGAGGGTGGAGTCCTCCTCCTAGTGGGAGTAGGACTCCCCTTTCCTAGTCCAACTAGGAAGGGGGAAGAGGGAAGGAAAGAGAGGGAGAAGGAGAGGGAAAGAGGGGCCGCGCCCCCCTCCCCTAGTCCAATTCGGACTCCCCATGGGAGGGGGCGCGGCACCTCCTAGGCTGCTGCCCTCTCTCTTTCCTCAGGCCCACTAAGGCCCAATACTTCCCCGGGGGGTTCCGGTAACCCCTCCGGCACTCCGGTTTTCTCTGAAATCACCCGGAACACTTCCGGTGTCCGAATATAGTCGTCCAATATATCAATCTTTATGTCTCGACCATTTCGAGACTCATCGTCATGTCTGTGATCACATCCGGGACTCCGAACAAACTTTGGTACATCAAAACTTATAAACTCATAATAAAACTATCATCGTAACGTTAAGCGTGCGGACCCTACGGGTTCGAGAACTATGTAGACATGACCTAGAACCATTCTCGGTCAATAACCAATAGCGGAACCTGGATGCCCATATTGGTTCCTACATATTCTACGAAGATCGTTATCGGTCAAACCGCATAACAACATACGTTGTTCCCTTTGTCATCAGTATGTTACTTGCCCGAGATTCGATCGTCGGTATCCAATACCTAGTTCAATCTCGTTACCGGCAAGTCTCTTTACTCGTTATGTAATGCATCATCCCGTAACCAACTCATTGGTCACATTGCTTGCATGGCTTATAGTGATGTGCATTACCGAGAGGGCCCAGAGATACCTCTCCGATAATCGGAGTGACAAAACCTAATCTCGAAATACGCCAACTCAACATGTACCTTTGGAGACACCTATAGTACTCCTTTATAATCACCCAGTTACGTTGTGATGTTTGGTAGTACCCAAAGTGTTCCTCCGGTAAACGGGAGTTGCATAATCTCATAGTTTCAGGAACATGTATAAGTCATGAAGAAAGCAATAGCAATATACTAAACGATCAAGTGCTAGGCTAACGGAATGGGTCATGTCAATCACATCATTCTCCTAATGATGTGATCCCATTAATCAAATGACAACACATGTCTATGGTTAGGAAACATAACCATCTTCGATTAATGAGCTAGTCAAGTAGAGGCATACTAGTGACTATATGTTTGTCTATGTATTCACACATGTATCATGTTTCCGATTAATACAATTCTAGCATGAATAATAAACATTTATCATGATATGAGGAAATAAATAATAACTTTATTATTGCCTCGAGGACATATTTCCTTCAAATTCTCACATCAAAAACGACAAACACGACGTAATTTGAGGCCCGCGAACACCACAGTAAACACTGACGCCAAAAAACACGTCCGCCACCAAAATGCCCACGCCGTCACCTCCGGTGACTACAAATCGCAAAACACATCCAGATGAGCGCGCGCACGTGCGGAACCCCTTTACGTGTCTCCTCTAGCAACGAATGGCCCGCAGCATTGCGCCGGAGAACGGCCAGAAGCTCCACGTTGCATCCCCTGTTTCTGTCCGTCGTGCACGCAGGAACATCAGTTCTTGTTGAAAAACACGTCAGTCCAACCTGTGAACTACGGCAGTACAGAAAGGGTAACAGAATAATATTCTGTTATGCGTAACAGAATAGCCCAGATGTGTGTGTGTCTATATATATATATATATATATATATATATATATGTATATGTATGTATCCTGCCTTCGCGGCTAAGAGTTGTGTTCATTATGAGAAGCCGGATACAATTATTTTACAGAGAAAAGCCGATGTGTATTCTTCAAGGAACCCGCCTTGCAATGCCGAAGACAGTCTGAACGCCGAATATATCATCATTGAAGACTGGTTCAGGGGCTACTGGGGAGTCCTGGAGTAGGGGATCCTCGGGCGTCTGGTCTATTGGATGTGGGTCGGACTGATGAGCCGTCGAGATACAATACAGAAGACGGAGGGGGTGGATGGGCGGCGCAGCTCGGGTAAGCGATGCTGAAGAAGAGCGGCGGTGGCGGCCTGACGGCGGCGGCAGCGGTTGGGTTAGGAGTGTGGTGGCGATGCTCGAAGTAGGCGGGGAAGAACCCGGCATCGTGACGGAGACTTGCGCTAACGATGGCGTTCCTGCGCCGAGGGAGGCGACGCGGCGCATACCACATGAAGTCGATGCGTGGGGGCGGTGGAGTGGACCGCGAGACGCGGCGCTACGCCCCGAAGGGGCGACATCAGGGCGACGCAGCAGCAGCAGGCTGGTCGAGGCGACGATGGGAAGACCTCGGGCGGCAACGTAGACCGCGGGGCACAACGCTACGGCCCAAAGGTGCGGCGCAGTGCGGGTCGATGCAACCCTTGGGTGGCGGCGGGGACCGCGTGTTACGGCACTACGACCCGAAGGGGCGACGCACTGGCAACACGGTAGTCGATGCAGCTGCGGGGAGAACCACGGGATGGCGGCGGTGCGGCCCGACTGGGTAACGCATCGGCAACCTATTGCTGGAGCGGTGGAGGGGCGTGCCGTACTCGGGGACAACCTTCACAGGACCTGCAGAGGCGGGTGCAACCGACTGATCAGGTCTGTGGCGTGGCATGGATGGAGCGGATCGCAGGCTGGCGGGTGATCAGTCTGACCGCACACAAGGTTGGGGATGCTGCTCGGTGATGATGATGGTGGTGTGGACGGTGAAGTGAGGTGGTCGAGCAGACCTAGGCGACGACAACCGGCGGGGAACGGCGTGCGGACGAGCGGCTAGTGTGCGGGGCTCGAGCGGTTAAGCCCAAGCGACCAACGTGGCACCGACGCCCGAGCGGCTAGGCTCGAGCGGCGAACACAATGTCGTGCATGAGATGGCCATATGGCGGCGGCGGAGACGGTAGGTGATGCAGGAGTTCTTTGGAGCAGGGCGGCGACAGGCGACGCAAAGCAACCAGTGGGCAAACGCGCAGCCAATACCCGTGAAGGCCACCGCGTCGCGTGAGGCCGTTGAGTCGGAGAAGAGGCCGGGTGGTTCCGCCTATGTCGGAGTAGAGGCGGCGACGGCCGGCGTAGACCGACGGCAACAGAACGCCGACGGCGGCCGTGACAGGCCGACGTGTCGAGCGAGGCAACCGTGTTGGACTGGAAGCCGGGGGATCGTGCTGATCTCGGAGTAGAAGCGAGCGGGGTCGACGGCGACTGTGGGCGACGCAATCCGATCTATGATCGGTGAACCAAAAAAAGAAAATGCCAGCCAAATGACCGACGGAGAAAAAACTGATCAAGGGATAGGAAAAACTCACTAGGGCAGCCGATCACAGATCGGCGGATGAACCCTGCTACGGGTCGCGTGGCCCCCGGCAGAGATCATGGAGATCGACCTCCCGAGGGCGGCGCCTTGCGGAAGCGTGCGGCGGCTAGGTCTAGAAACATGCGGCTGATACAATGTTAGAAGGGAATCGAGAGGGATTGGCCGAATATAATGGTTGTTGTATTGAGCCCCTCAGACGATTTATATAGAGTACAAGGTTTGGAGGGCAAGAAGCCTCTCCTAAAGATAAGGCAGGAGATGATTAAAAATCATAGACTACCATCTACAAATATATGCCTACATACTCTAACAGAATAGACATTAATGTAGCGGCAGCAACGAGCCGAAGCATTTTTCTCGCCCGCGGCACCGTGTGAGTGCCGTGCCATTCGGCCGGGATACGGCACTGACCAATTCCGCTCTGGACCGGCATAAATACAATAAAGTGGAATGACGGTTTAAGCGGAATGAGAGGAGTGGAGGGAATGGGCTGGGTGGGGTGTCGGATGCCTATATGGCGGAGGTACGGACTGTGAGAAACCTCCCGAGTTAGCTTCCGGTTTGTGGGCCTTCAGACATCCGGACCAATTGACGAATGTTCGGTGCACAATGTTGAATGAGCCAACGTGATCTGAACATTTACAAGTAATTTGATGCACGGTGGGTGTGGCGTAGTTCTCCTCCATGTCCGGAGTCGCTCTCAGTGAAGACTACAGTATTGATGACATGCTAAATGTAAAAGTGACAGTGAACAGTACGAATGAACGGGACTTAATTGATGATGACCACCACCGTTGTCGGCTATTATTGTCGGATGATGAGGCGAGCCAGCGGCAATGCTGCACGTACAGATCACTGTCACTTTGGTCTCAGGATGGGAATGGGCCGGGTCGACCCACCGGGTCTCTGGCCCGACCCAAAAAAACAAGGCTGATGGGTCAGTCGGGTCGGCCTCATACAAAAATCGGGCCAGTAGAGCCGGCACGGAGTGACCCATTGGGTCAGCGGGGCTGACCCACCTCCGAGTACTGGAGTCCATCGGTATCGCCAAATCTTATACGACAACTAGCGATCAGCTAATTATAGTATACTAATTAGCCCAAACTTCAACTAGCTAACATTTGTACATGTACTGGAATCCATTAACCCAACCCTCCTTTATAAACCGGACGTGAATAGAGCTGAAATTGCATATGTGGTTCATTTGTAAACTTTAGTTATTTCAATCATGCATGTTTAGGTTATAATTTTGTTTTATACTTGTAATAACATATTTTGAAAATATTCTATGTACCACAACCAAATCTTGTATAAGAAAATAAAATTTGGGTCGACCCGAAGTACCCATCGGGCCGACGAGGCCATTGACTTTTTTGAATTGGGTCGACCCGTGGCCTCTCAAATTGGCCTTGAGGCCAACGGGGCCGGGTCCAAGGCCAGGTCCGGGCCGACCCGTTCCCACCCTGACTTTGGTCAATAGGTGAGCGGGGTGGTCTACCCCCTAAAAATCAGGGGTAGAGGTTTGTGATTGGTTGTTAGATGGAAGGAGCGTGTAAAAGTGTGTAAGTCTTTGTATGCCAGCGCAACAGCTGCTTGTGAAGCTCCAGCACACGGTCACGGGGGGTCAGCCCAAGAAGAGCAGGCCTTCCGCCAGTCGCCGCGCCTCCTCGACGACGGCCACCGCGTACTCCATGGCGGTGCCGGGGCTCCTGCTCGTGATCACGTTCCCGTCAACCACCACCCTGTTCTCGCACTCGCTGTCGTCCGCGAGCAGCCCGGCCATGGATGCGCACGTCGTCGCCTTCTTGCCCTGCAGCAGCCGAAGCGATTTCGCATTTCAGCGTCGGCGCGCGGTGAGCGGGTTGGAGTAGGTACCGGGTAGCTCAGCACGTACCTTGAGCAGGCCATGGGGCTCGAGCACGTGGGCGGTGGCGGCGCCGATCGCGCCGTACGGCCTGTTCGCTTCCGCCTGCTTCTTCAGCAGAGCGACGAGCTGCTCACAGCCGCCCAGCGTCTTCGCGCCCGGCATGCCGCCCTGTTTGAATCAAAGAAACGGAGGCCGATCAATCAATCAGTGGCTACCAGCGGACGTGTATCTGAAGCTCTTGCATGCTACTTGCCGGCACGATGATCAGATCGAAGGGCGCACGATCGGCGGCCTCGTCCAGCATCACGTCGGCCACGATCCTCGTCCCGTGTCGCGCGGTGACCACGACACCGTCCTCGGCGGACGCGACGACGACGTCCGCGTTGGCTCTGCGCAGCGCGTCGACGATTATTATCGCCTCCATCTCCTCAATGCCGTTGCCTAGTGGAAGAAGAACCTGAAGCACCAAGAATGGGAGGCAATGGGTTTTAGAGAACCTCGTGATTCAGGAGTGGAACTTCAGAATACCAGTACTGCGCGCTTTGCAATGCACCTGACCTTGGGTGTGCCGCTGCAATGCCACTGGACCGAGTTGAGTTCGTTCATGCTGTAGCCACCTTCGTATCTCACTAGCTAAACAACAAAAAGACATAGCAACTTTCGAAAAAAATATGAAAAACATACCCCCTTTTACCCTTATTCTTGTACTAAATCAGCGATAATTAATATGGATTGGAGGGAGCAGCAGAATATGGTAGTGCAGTTGATGAGGAAAATGTTGCCACCTCTTAGATGGGCAATCGAGTTGATAAGAAAACTCACCATTGGTTTAGCGATCTGCTCGACCTTCTCCTTCCCATAGAGCTGCTCCACCAAGGCCAGCACAAACTCCATCGACGTTGCCGGCCCAGTGCCCGTCACGGCATTGCCGTCCACCACCACGTTCGCGTCCACGGCGGTCACCTCGGGAGGGAACTTCTCCACGAACCATGGATGACCCGTAGCCTAAGTACACAAAGCATTTGTTGCAAAAAAAAGGTGGGAACATAATCTATCCACGCAAAAGAAAAAAAATGTCATCCCTAAAATACAGTGGCTTGCCTCTTTTTTTTTTTACTAAAGGCAGATAATCTTTTAAGCTTTTTTTCTTGCGGGTGATAATCTTTTAAGCTTTGCTACACTTACGGAGATTCCCTAAATAAAAAGAAAGAAGAAGAAAATACACCATGTTTATCCACACTAGAAAATACTCGCGAGTTGTTGTGGGAATTGGTTGCAGTATAATTCAATAAGATTTGGTTATGTTGATTATGAATATTTGGATTAATAATATGATAGTTGAAACCTTTGCACTTAAGAAATTATATGAGATAGATCTAGAACTAAAATTACATATAATTTATTGTACTAGACTAATGTATAGTTGTAAGATATTTACTGGATATAGGTATCACGATACAATGGAAAAGGGGGTAAGGCTCTTCCCATGCATGTTGAGGTCGCATGCTTAAGAGCCCCGCTACACATACGACATTTGACATATGACTTTTGTCCAACAATGCACATAAAGACACTCGTTGGTTGAATTTAGTGTGCATCACACCCATGGATTGCTGATCGTACAACTATGAGACCATAGTATCGTATGTTCATTATTTTTGCATGCTTAAATGTTGAGATAAATAATTGAGTGAAAATCAGATAGTTATATAGGATAAGTGAGTATCCACACCCCTAATTGTTATGTGTGCGCGCAATTACACTTCTTCTTCATCCGTGTAGAGAGACAAGTTATGGGCTGTGCAATCGCGATGTATTGATCGGTGCACCAGGCACGCATATATAAGTACAGAGGTGGGCCACAACCTCAACTATACAAGGAAACAGGAGGTGGGCCCTACACACACATATACACGTACACAATATAC